GCTTTTTATGGAATACAATTTCTAATGTGAAATCCATTTGTTTTGATATTAGTTCATGTCAACCTTCATTCGTCCAGGACAGGAGTGTCTAGCTTTGAAACCTTCCTATCATGTTTTTTTTTTTTTTAGTTTTTGCTAATTGTTAATTTTGTCAAAACATCAAACAGCAACTTGTGTTATCATTTTAGGATTATGATGGCCTTGTGGTTCGATCTGCAACAAAGGTGACAGGTGATGTTATCGATGCTGCCAGTAATCTAAAAATCATTGGAAGGGCTGGAACTGGAGTCGATAATGTAGATGTCGATGCTGCTACAAAAAAGGGCATTATTGTTATGAAGTAAGTGATCACTTTGCCATATGAACTGTGGTGGGAAACTACAGGACTTACATTTTGACACATTTTTTTTCAGCACACCAAGTGGCAACACCATCAGTGCGGCAGAGCTCACATGTGCCCTCATTATGAGTCTCTCAAGGTATATTTCTGATTAAACCTGCAGTGAAAGGAATGCGCAAAGACTCATGGTTCCTGCTTTTTTCAGGCATGTCCCTCAAGCTGCGATGTCTATGAAAGCTGGAAACTGGGATCGCAAAAAGGTGAGTAGAAAATACTTGCTGCCCCATTTTAGAGACTGTGTTTTTAGAGGGCAGTGGGTACACAAAGCAGTTACCAATGCATGAACGATTCCTTTGTCCAGTGAATCATCAGTGCTCTAATGTGGCACATAACATTCTATAGTTTTATAATTTGGCTTCTTTAACATAGTGCGTTACATTTCTTTTTTATTTGCAGTTTATGGGTGCTGAGTTGTATGGAAAGGTGCTTGGAATTGTAGGACTCGGGAGAATAGGAAAGGAAGTGGCCTCAAGAATGCAGTCATTTGGCATGAAGGTAAGCTGTAGTTACCCACACAAGAAGAATGCTCACTTGACTTTAAGCTCAAACTCAAACGCCTTTTAGACAATCGGCTATGACCCAATCACCCCTCCGGAGGTTACTGCCAGCTGGGGGGTGGAGCAGATGTCTTTGGAGCAGTTATGGCCCCAGTGTGACTACATCACTGTGCACACACCGCTTATGCCCTCAACTGTTGGTACGTGATTTTCTTTTTGTGTGTGTTTTTGTTTTTTATTGAGCATTCAGTTAGATGATTAAACCCATTACAATAATATTTTTACACCCAAACTTCAGAACAAACAAACCCTGTTGCACCATTAAAAAAAAAAAATAATATATATATATATATATATATATATATATATATATATATATACACACACAAATAATTATTCACTGAAGTAATGGTATTATTACTCCTTTTGAAATCAGATTTTTTTTTTTTTTTTTTTTTTTTTTTTTTTTTTTTTTTTTATGGCCGTAACCATTATTACAAACTTTTTAAAATCATGCCATTTGAAAGTAATTTTGTCTGAACACTCAACTTTTTTTTTTTTGGAAGGCCTCCTCAATGACAAAACCTTTGCCAAATGTAAGAAAGGGGTGAAAGTTATTAACTGTGCCCGTGGTGGCATCATTGATGAAGCAGCACTACTCAGAGCTTTGGAGTCTGGACAGTGTGGAGGAGCAGGGCTTGATGTCTTTGTTGAGGTCCGTATACTCCTTTTGTTTGTACATAGACCCTTATTTACACAAAAAATTAACTTGAACATAATGTAATCTCACAGGAACCACCAAAGGACCGTGCACTTGTGAATCATCCAAATGTAATTGGCTGTCCACACCTTGGAGCCAGTACTAAAGAAGCACAGGCACGATGTGGGCAAGACATAGCATTACAGATTGTGGACATGGTTAACGGCAAGAATCTGATTGGAGCTGTAAGTTCTACTCAAAGCAAGGATTCAACTCACAAAAAATAAAAAGTGAAGCATAAAAATAAATCTGCATTTTCATCCTGTAGGTAAATGCCCAGGTTTTGGCCAGCACTTTCTCCCAAGAATCTCAGGACCTGATTAAATTCGGGGAAGCTATCGGATCAGTGCTGCAAGCTTGTACTACTTCGAGGAAACCATACAGTAACCTCCAGATAACGACTCAAGGTAGGTCAACTTGAATTACTTGTTTGATTAAACTCTGTCACCTTTTTTATAGTGGGAAGTGCAACAGCAGGTGAAATGTGAGCACTAGCTCCATCTTGTGGTTGTTTTATGGAACACTACCTCTACGGTACAGAAATCTTGACTGTGTTTCAATTCTTTCCTCGCTTCCTTCTCCTTGAATCTTCAATTTTTCAGCTGACAATGTGTTGTATTAAGTGGTGTCTCAAAGAAAACCACAGAAAGAGATGACAATGAAGGAGGAGCAGATATCAAATAAATAATCACACTTTACTGGTCTCAGTGAGGACTTTATATTTCTCCTCCTTGCTGTGTCTCCTTTGTGCGTGGGACTTCCTCACCCATTTCTTGCAGAATCAAGGAGAAGAATCAAGGAAAAGGAAGAGAGGAAAGAGAAATGGGACACAGGCCTTGTCCCTAAACCCGTTTCATAGGAGCTTAGCTTTTTCTGAACTATGAACTTTAAACTTATAGTGGGAAAATAAGAAAACAGACAACTTTTTAATGAGTATATTGAGAGGTATATGGTATATCAAAAATGCTCTATACTATAACTAGTTCTGTTTGTGTTCTGTGTTAAGGTGACTGTATGAAGTCATGCTCTGGTTATATGGCTTCTGCTGTACTAGTGGGATTGCTTGGAAATGAATCCAACGGTATTAACCTTATAAATGTTCTGAACCTTGCTAAGGATTCTGGAATGCAGGTATATCAGTGAAATCAACTGGGTGTGATTTCCTTGTGTTTGCTTAATTTATTAAGTGTACCTGATTCTAGGTGGCCCAAACTCACGTCACATCAAACGGTGTTCCTGGATCTTGTGAAGTGGAGGTCTTGGCTGATGGTTGCAACTTTAAAGCCGCTGGGTCTGTTCAAAGTGGTGTTCCTGTCCTGTTGAAATTGAGTGACAGTGTCTTTAGACAGCCTGTGTCTCTCACTGGGAATCTGCTGTTCTTCAAGTCCTCAGCCAGTCCTCAACTTCTATCGTCAGTGGCCGGTAAGAAAATTGTCATGGTTAGTAAAAATTATGCAAAACATACAAATGTAACATGGCAAGGAGGCTAATGAATAGGATGTTGTCCAACGCTTCCTGCCACTAGATGGAGGCATTTTTGTCTTGATGCAATATTTACTGTGATATGAAAAGACTTTATAGTGCATATAAAGGTATTACGGAATATTAGGAGACTCACATTTTAATATACAAAGTCCTCTACCACTCTACATTTTACAGTGAGTAATCCATTCCTTTCATGTCCTCTGGGCATACGGGCTATGTCTCTGGGACAAAAATAAATATCCATTAGGGCATGGGGGTTTCATTCATTCTTTTGTATTGTTTTTCCTCACTCTAAATGGATGAAATGTGGTGTTTGTTTTTAGCCAACAAAAGCTTTATAGTAGTGTTCACTAAAGCCTTTTACATTGTCTCCTTTTGCCTTTGTTTTTGCAGGAGTGCTCATCACAGAAGGAGTGCAGATTGAGTCCTTCAGTGCTCCTGTGAACCACTTGGGGGAGCAGTGGTATTGTGTGGGGGTGTCAAATCTGCTCAAAGATCTTAATGTTTTGAAACCTTTAGTTACAGATGCAGCTCAAGTCACCCTTTAGATCAGGATGGTTGCACCCCCTTACTTTCTGGAATCGCCTATAATGTTGTTTTCGGGGAAACTAATCTATTGAATTCATGTTAATTTTAGCAGTGGACCACTTGCTGTTTATACAGTGCTTATTTGTGAAGTTCCAGCACTCAGATGTTTACATTTGGGCAATGCAATTAAATGTTAATGTCTCATACAATAGTTTTTTAAGCAGAAATAAACTAATATGAAACTATTTTACCTCATGTGTTTATGACTCTATTACTTGTGTGATATCCAGTTGTAGGAATACTGAATCATTTTTCACTTCAGTGGTTAATATTGTGCTACATTAATTTGGACTGTGAGGAAGTTGGCCCAATGTGGTCAAAGTTGGAGGCAGACTTTCAACAAATTTATTAAAAGATGACTTTGGTTGCTAATGTAAATAACTTGATTAGTTGTTTAAACTGTATTTTCTAAACAGAAAATAACTTGAAACAATGTCACATGGACACAGGATAACTTTACTCTTAACAGGTTTTACTTTTATCTAATCTTAGTCTACTAAACCATCATTTATTTAATAGTGATAAGTTATACATTTTCCTGGGCATACTTGCCCACCAAATTGTAATATCGGTGATAGTTTATGATTGCGCACAATGCTGGTAATCCTCCTTGTTAGGATTAGGTAAAGCCTTGACCACACCACACTGGAAATGGGTAGAAAACACCATAGCAACGACGTGAATGGGATTGAAAACATGAATAGAGAACAGTAGCCGCTTGTTGTGCCTTTTAAAGAAGTCCTCATTTGTTTAAGATTTGTATTCTCGTAGTGATGCCGGGTCAATCACTACGACTCTGTGCCCTACTGCTCCAGACATTTGATATATGAAGCTTACGTTCAGATTATGTCCTGGGAAAGAAAATGGACTGGGTGAATCCTCTCAATGGTCGCTTGGTTTTATCAAGGATCTGTGAAGCAGAAGAGCAGAGGAAGAAGGGGAGGAGGGGGTATGGACGCTGGACACAAATAGACTACCAAAATAGGATAGAGCAGCTTGTGACCGTCCTGCACGCTTGAGCTATATTGAGCCCCCCAACACAACGCAACAAACGTTCATTAAAATTGGGGTTGACTCATTCATGGAAATATTCTCACAGGTACGTTTACTATATGATTTTTAAAAAAAATAGAATCTTGTGATGCGCATCCACTCTTTATCACGCTATTACAATTACGCACGATAAATTGCTACCTTAAACGTCAACAAATGGCAATATGATCTTTCTTACGTGATCTCCGTTATAATATGTGATTTTCCAACAGATACAATGTCACAAAAGCCGACGGATGTTTACGCTTATGATTACATCGACAGCGCGCATCCTAACGAGCTGCTGGAGACCCTGAGACACTTCTACCTCACCGGTGCCTTTACTGACGTTACGCTACAATGTGCCGAGTCCGGACAGGTGTTTCAGTGCCACAAAGCGATGCTCTCAGCCTGCAGCTCCTATTTCAAAGTGATGTTTACGGCAGATATGAAGGAGAGATCCGACAGTGTGATCAAACTGTCTGGGGTGCGCTGTGGGGTTCTGGCGGATTTGGTTAACTACGTTTACACAGCCCAGGTGCGCATCACAGAAGACAATGTTCAGAGTTTACTGGAGGCTGCAGATCTATTCCAATTCATTTCAGTAAAACGGGCCTGCGAAGAGTTCCTCGTGCGCCTCCTGGATGTTGATAATTGTTTGGGAATGCACGCTTTTGCGCAGCTGCACCTGTGTCACAGTTTGGAGCGGGAGGCTCAGAGGATGACGCTCAGCAGGTTTTCAGATATCATACAACAGGAAGAAATGCTAGAATTGGAACTCGAAAGGATGAAAACATTTTTATTAGGTCACAGTTTTGGGGTGCAGTCAGAAGAAATTATACTGGATGCAATAACGAAATGGATATGCCACGATATTAATAGACGTATTCAGTATGTTGGTGACCTATTACGCACCATTAATCTAGATTTGGATGAGAACTACAGTAATGCGTTTGAGACACATGGACAGCTTTTACTTGCTAATGAGGAAAATGTGAAATCTTTCATCATACAAGCAGCAAAGTCAAGCATCAAGGGTCTACCCACAAAGAGAAAAATGTCTTCTCAAAATATGTACATCATCGGAGGATATTATTGGCATCCTTTATGTGAAGTTCATATTTGGGATCCGATAAGTAACACATGGATACAGGGGAAGGACATGCCGGACCCTGACAGAGAGAGTTACAGCGTGAGTTTACTAGGAGCAAATATCTACGTGTCTGGAGGTTACAGAACTAACACGGTGGAGGCCCTGGATGAGGTCTTTGTTTATAACTGTGATGGGGACGAATGGACTCAGAGCTGTTCAATGATAACAGCCAGATATTACCACTGCTCTGTGGCGCTGCATGGATGTATTTATGCAATAGGAGGCTATAGGGGAGGGGCCCCAGAGAAAGACTGCGAGTTTTATGACCCCTTAAAAAAACAGTGGTTCCCAGTGGCGCAAATGATTCAAGGTATGTGGAGCAATTGGAATGTTCTTCCTTGTACTGTAAGATATTGTACACTGTCAAAGTTAACTGCCAAATGTGACTTTTCAACTATAATTGAACTATAATCTGAAATAACAACAAAATTACTGATTTGGTGTTTTCCTTTTACTTTATTGGAAACATAAAACGCAAGATTCTACAATTAAGTTTTAGTGAGAATTTATAACAAATCTGTATCAAGTTTGGAACTGAGGAAAAAAGCTTGATTAAAAAAATGCTACATAAAATAGGCCTCTCTTCCTCTCTAATAGTTCACATTCACAGTAAATGTTCTCTTGTGACTCCACATTACATTGGTATGTATAATAGTGCTTCAGATGTGAACTATGTACTTTTATAGTCTCCATGGAGATGTCATTGCTTTAACTGGAATATTCCACAATGTGTAATAAAAATGTATTAATGTCCATGGGGATAAGCAGAGCAAATTACAGGTCAGGTGTGAAGAGATGGCACCTGCTGTGAGAATACATGTTTTTAAAGGTTGATTCTTGACCTTTAAAACTCCTGGAACTCAACAAATGCAAGATAGATATGTTTAAGGCTTTGTTTGTATGTTTAAAGTTACATATTCCACCTTTAAACAAGAGCTAGAAAGAAACTGTGACACTGATTTTGTATTTTCAGGTGTTGGAAATGCCACAGCATGTGTAATGGGAGATAAGATCTATGTGACTGGTGGCCATTATGGATACAGAGGTAGTTGCACCTATGAAAAAGTTCAGGTTTTTCGATCCACTGTGAACGAGTGGAGTGTTATTACCATAAGTCCTCATCCAGGTAGGTAACAAATAAGAAGTTCATTTTGACAGCTTTAACAGGTTTCTAACTAAAATCTGTCTTGCTGTTTTCCATGTAGAGTATGGCTTGTGTTCAGTGTCTCTCAACAATAACATGTACTTGGTGGGAGGACAGACCACCGTGGCGGACTGCTACAGCCCAGACAGTAACAAGTGGAAAACAATTTCAGAGATGAAAGAGCGCAGGATGGAGTGTGGGGCTGTTGCCATAAATGGTTGCATTTATGTAAGTGGGGGATATTCCTATTCAAAAGGTACTTACCTCCAGAGCATTGAGAAGTACGACCCTGAACTGGACTCATGGGAGATTGTAGGTACTCTGCCCAGCCCCACAAGGTCTCACGGATGTGTTTGTGTTTATAGTCTTTAGTTGTTTGTTATGATAGTATGAGGTGTAAAACTTTTTCAAATCTTCTTGGTGCCAATTTAAATAATATAAATCAATAAATTCTGATTCACAAATTAAAGACAAGATTTGTTATAAATGTATGAATAAATATATATTAGAATGTATATATGTTTATTTAATTTAAAATAAATGCCTAAGTTGATAAATTCATCTGTGCTGAATTCTGTCCACAAGGTTTTATTACTGTAATGACTGGACCCTATTAAACACATGGGGGATACCAAACTTGTGACAAACATGCTAGAACTAAAAAACAGGAGAATGTTTTATTGTCAGTGTTTACAAAATGAATTCTGAATTGTCCTGTGGCCTTCTAACCATAATGACATGGCAAGGACACCAGAGGATTCCTCAGCAGTGAAAAAAATCCAAAACTAAAAACTAGGTGTAATTTAGGTGTCAAGTGTTATACTGTGAGTGAATACATGGTCAAAAACACACAATACCATTCACAGGGTTTTACAATAAATTAAATACAAACACCAGTTGACTGTGTGTAGACCATATACAGCCTGTGGTGGAGATGGAGCAAATGTCTCTTGAGTCTGAACCTCATCTTTGTGCTGATGATGAAGCTACATCTTGGAGTAGTTTTCTTGCACTAGACCGGCTTATATTGCAGAAGCCTATGTAAAAAAAGCTTGATTAGTTTACCCATCGTTTCTTACCTGGTTCTTACATGGAAATCATGTGAGTTCAGAGCGTTTACGATACGCAAATGTGAAGAAACAGCGACACGTAAAGGACAAAGCAGGCTATACACAACAGCCTGTCTGCTGGAAACACATCAGTGGATCTAACTGTCAAATACATGTCTTGAAATGTGTTTCTGCGGAAGACAAAATCTAAATGGTGTAAATTTTCAAGTTTGAAGCCATACAGCCTCCATATTTGTACTCACATTCCTTCATTAGAGCGGTCAAGAGGGACTCCATAGCTTCGCTTTTCACGGAACATGTCAATTCAGACCCTCAGCACTATCCGTAGCACGCAGCTGTAGACACAACGTGCGAACTGCGTGCAGAGCTGAGCTTAGTTTCGATTAAAGTGTGAGCGACTGGAAGGCTTTTATTAAGTTGTAAGTATTACTTTAATATAACGCCGAAGGCACTTTGATGTCACCTCGAAATATGAAATTAATAAAATACCAGTAGAAAACTGGCATGTTTCGTTAGATTGCCTTTTTAATGAGACAACAAATGTCAAAACTGCATGCGATTATAACCAGACTGTTGTAACATCAACACTAACCGCGAATATTGTGTTGTTGAATGGATTAGTGTATGGCTTTTGTACATTGAAGCATTAGAGACGGTGTAATTCAGCATTCTGGATAGGGAGGTTATTCTGTGGGAAATTTGCTAAGCTAGTATGCTAGCTTTGGTAAAATTCCCAAATGATAAAACATGGTGCTTTTTAAAAAATACCTTTGCAGCAACAACATAAAAATATAAAAAACAAGCTTAACTATTGGGTTGAAGTGTAAATAGAGTAGTTTTACACGTATGATCTACACTTGACTTGAGCATCTGTATGTTTTACGCATGGACCTATTAAAAACACACTTGTCTTACTTCATAGAATCATGGCAGATGAAGAAATGTCTCCTCTTGAGCTTAAAGTGGCAAGACAAATCGAGGTACGTCGTGATAATCTTGTGATAATGTATTGTCTCTAATTGTACTTCAATACATTACTAACTAATCTTTATTTTAGTACTACTTTGGGGATCATAACCTCCCAAGAGACAAATTTCTCAAAGAACAATTACAGCTTGATGATGGCTGGGTAACACTGGAGACTATGCTAAAATTTAACAGGTTTGATGCATACAGCTTAATTTATCGAATTCAGTTTTAACATTCTTTCCTTACATTCATAATAATTTGAATGAGAACAGTAAAAATGTAAAAGGTTTGTTTTTATGCCCTTTCCTCTAGACTGAAGGCTTTAACGACAGACACCACTGTTGTTATAGCAGCACTACAAAAATCAAAGATGGGTTTACTGGAGCTCCATGATGACAAGACTAAAATCAGAAGATCTCCTAACAAGCCGTTACCTGAAGTTAATGACGAATACAAAGCAAATATTGCTCACAAAAGTGTGTATATGGTAAGTTCTTTAGCTGATAGGAGTGCATTCGACGATCAAATGTGTTGCAGAAGTGGCCGTAATAGGGACAAAAAATATGAATGTATGTCCTATTTCCATGTCGACATGTACAGCATATTTCCTATGTTCCTTGACCTTCTCTGTTCACCTGAAACTGGAAAAATCATTGGGATACTTTACAATGTTCGGCCAATGTTAGTGCTGCTATTTTAGGGCATTTCCCATATTTAGCAAGGGTAACACCAATGCTGAGGACCAATTCCCGCTTGGACCAAGTTCTGTGTGTCCTTTGGCAAGACTTTTCCCCACCTTTCTTAGTATGAATATAGTGTGATGGGTGATTTCTGACTGGCTACATCTGCTAGTGACTTAAGCTTATTAAACAGGGTCTCATTCTGAGATATATATTATGTCGCTCACCCCTTCTGTAATTGTTTTAGAGGTTTATTAGTATTAAGAATATATTCAGTGATATGATAGTCGTTGACTTTGGAATTTTCTAATGTAGAAAGGTTTTCCTCTGGAAACTTCTCTGGATGAAATTCAAGAATGGCTGAATGGAAAAGGCAAAATAGAAAATATTCAGATGAGAAGAAACCTACAAAAGCAATTCAAGGTAAATGTAATGAAATTATTTTGGCAGTATATGTCACTTGAAATGACTTGCTGTAATTCCTACACAGGGATCAGTGTTCATCTGTTTTGACACTGAAGAGTCCTCAAAGCAATTCCTAGAACGTTCAGACGTAAAGACTTTCAAGGACAATGAGTTGCTAGTGTTGTCCAGGTTTGTCTTATAATCGACAGCTTTTAAAATTATATTTCATAACCTTAATGCTGTTTCTGTTTGTAGAGAAGCTTATCATGCAAAGAAAGCAGAGGAGAGAAAACAATTTAAAGCGGAGAATAAAGCTAAAGCAAAGCAGTAAGTACAGCCACATGTCACTGTCATGAATGCATTATTGTAAAAGTGTATATCTGAAACAAACAATTTCTATTTAGGGACAAAGAAAAACACCAAAAACAAACCGAGGACAAAGAAATGGTGAGTCCCACACAGTATATACTACAGAGGCCTGGTCTATGAAGCTGACTTATATTATCCTGAATAAATTGTGCGACAGTGAGTCCCTTAGTTAAAGGTGCACTATGTAACTTTTCTGGTGGTGGTCTGCCACCTGCTTGTCTCCATGAGATGATATTGCTTTGCCAGCATGACATTAAATGCATCCATTACCAAGTAGACGAACAACTCACACCATTAAGCCAAGTTACAGGTCAGATGTGTGGAGAAACAAGCTTACTCATTAGAATGATTGTTTCAAAGGCATTTTAGCAATTAAAAAAAAAGTATGCAGAATTGATCAATTTAATACTGTACTGTGTAACATTCTGGGCAAAAATGGCAAAATGGCTGACAAATTAACAATGGTGAAGGGAAGCGCTGTGTACACAAAATTAAAAGATAAAATACAAGACAAGGGAAATATTGAGAAACATGAGAAAATTCCTTTGAATTATAAACCAGGCTAGACCACAAAAAACTTAGTCCGAGGGTTAACCAGAAGTTACCAGAAACCAGGTTCATAGTACAGGATGCAGGTGTGTGGCAAACTGGTTAATTACTATACTACTTTGCTTTTATACTTCAGGAGTTGCTCTTGGATGAACAGACAGGATGTCTGTTAAAATTTTCTGGAGAGCTTCAAAATGTTTCAAGAGAAGACTTTCATGAATTATTCTCTGGCTACGGAAAGATCAAATGGGTCGATTTTACCAGAGGTGCCAAAGAGGTGAGCTGTAACTATCAATTATATCACACATTTAGCATAATAGATGGCAATTTATTTATTTTTCTCATCCAAACTAGGGCACGCTCCTATTTGATGGAAATGCAAAGGAAGCCTTTGATAAGGCCAAAGAGGCAAATGAAGGGGAATTGAAAATCAAGGACAACACAGTTACATGGCAGTTACTTGAGGGAGATGAGGAGAAGGAAGAATTAAAGAAGATAATTGAAGCTCAACAAGACTCTTACAGGTCCAGAGGCAGAGGTACATATTCTAAAGATGAATCCTTATTTTGTTGCACAGATTAACCAATTTACATTGCCTTTTGGAAAAACGTGGAAACATTCAGTACAGATCAACCATGGTGAAACTGTAGCCACCAAGCCAAGACTCATTCAAATCTTAAATGGCATTTAAGTGCTGTAATATCACTGCATATTAATTTACATCAGTAATCTTTACAATTCACCATTCACACCAACCATGCTGCCATTATGAAGTAGAATTGAATTAGAAAGCTAATTGGCACACATACATTTGTATATCAGTTTTTTCAATTATAAAATAAGGTTTTTATTATTAGTGGTACTTGTCAAGGTGGACTAATTCTATTATTTGTTCTTGATGTTGCGGTAAATTGTCAAGGTGGTAGACGCCCAGGTGGAAGAGGAAGAGGAGGCAAAAGGGGTAGGGGTGGCGGCAGAGACAGAGATCAGGGCAGACATCATTTCCAAGGAAAGAAGACCAAATTTGATAGTGATGATGAAGGCGATGATGAGAATGGTAAGAACTCCCTACTTGTACTTCTGTTTCTTTTTATGTGATATATATTTTTTTTTCTCAATAGCACCTGCAGCTCCAAAGAGAGAGCTAGAAGAAGCAGAAGCTCCTCCAGCCAAAGTTGCCAAAACAGAGAATGGATCTTAAGTTTTAAAAATCACTCAAGAGTTTTTGTCATTTGTAAAAACATTTATAACAAACCGCAAAAGACAGAAATTGCTTTAGTCCATTCCATTGCAACTTTCAGGATTTGGAGAATCTTAAGAAATCCACCTGGATATCCACCTAGGAAGTAAGACATTAAATGAACCCATGTATCTTAAAAGTAGTGTTTATTTTATTATACTTAACTGTACATTAGGACTAATTTCTTTTGAACAAGCGCTTAATGTCAAATATTTGACATTCAGTAAGTCCTATTTGCTGTGTTGATTTGTAAAGAATTGAATACTTTTTTTTATAGTTTGCATAGAAAATGGTAAATAAAACAAAATGTAAGCCCAATATTGGAAACTTTATTTTTTATTCATATCTGGTTATACAAATGAACTTACCGATTTCTTTTTGTGAAACTTGTAAGATGCTGGTAAATCATATCTTAGTTCTGTAAACAAACAGTTGGGCTATGTTAAACACTTATTTGGCTTTCAGTGTTAATGTTTTATTTTGTCTCACCTGCTACTACTTCCATTTTAACACCCCAATCATGTGCCTTTTTCTTTATGTGCTATAAAATTGGTGTTTACTGTTAGTTTGTTTTAGTTTGTTTTTTTAATGCTTTTAAAAAAAAATGGAACCCTTACCTCTCGTGTTGATGTTTTATGAAGTGAATACACAGTGTTCTTTGCTAACGTTAAGGCAGTCTTCAAGAATTTCATATCTATACCTTTAGAAATAAATTAAAACGCATAAAAAAATAGGTGGCAAATAAGAACACGTGTACACATAGCTGTAAACAAGTGTGTTCACCTTGATTATGTTTTGTTCCAAATGGTGGATTCATGATAACTGTATCAAATTTGGAGGAATATGCCTCCATCTTCAAACTACATAAGTCACACTGGACGAGGTCTAAGTTGGAAATCTCAAATTCCTCTGCATTTCTTCTAAATGTCTCCAAGGCGTCGTTATCGATGTCAAAACCAACACAAAATCTACGCAAAAATGTAAGTGAGTAACAACATGCAGGAAATATTTTTACAATGATTATCATAAATTCTTACCCTGCTTCAAGCACTGCTGCGCCAATGCTCAGTACACCACATCCACATCCTAAATCTGCTACCAGTTTTCCTTGAATATCATCAAATGTATTATGAATTGTGTAAAGCATACACGCTGAAAAAATGACAAAGCAAATGATTAAAAATGCTACTTGAATACTGGAGCGTATCGCAGTTTCTTACCTGCAATGTGTGGGCTAGTTGGATACTGTTCAAGGAGTACTTTGGGTGTTTCAAATGTGTCGACTTGTTGCAAACAACTTTCCAGTTCCTTGAGTTTCATGACTATTTCAGTGGGTACATAAATATCAAGTAAGTATGTTGCACGACCAGAACTCCAACCGAATCCAACGCTAATGCTTCACAGATCCATCAGCTACTGAAGCAAATTTCCGCTGTGCGTGCAACAAAAACAATCCGACTTTACACATAGTCAGTCAAAAACGGTTCCTCTTCCTCGTAAAACACCACCCAACCATGTGTATGCCGTGCACCCATAGACTGTATACACCCAACACAGAACCAAAAGTATTAAAATGGACTATAACTTAAACCTGCGAAGGTTTATTAAAATAAACCTTGCGGAACAATATCACGAGAATGACGGACGCCATCCAAATGTTTCTTAGAAACCAGGTAAAGAGAATAAAAAAGTGCAAGTTAAAACTTAATACACAACATTACATTTATAAGCAATTTCACAATGATTGAAAGACGCTTGTGCTAAACCCACAGCTACATGATTGCACAGTGCAGAGATAACGCCCAACCATGCTGGGAGACAACACATCGCGAGAATTCACGAGAACATGGAAACAAGACAACAAAAATAAATTTGTAGAAAAACAAGCAGTGAGCATGATGGCGGCGTCGCTGCTGCGCCGGGACAAGAAAGCTACTGCTACCCATTTGAAAGCAGACCTTACCCAGGCTGACAACAGCTCCGGCCTGCGACAGCTTCATGAGCTACTTGATAATGTCCTAAATCCCGAGAAGCCTGCTGCGGACACCGAGGCTCTGGACTGGTGCAAATGTCTGATCGCAGGAGGCGAAGGATTCGAGGAGTTCTGCAGAACGGTGCGCTCCTATGACAACGCTACCCTGTGCGGCTTGGTTTGGACGGCTAATTTTGTGGCGTATCGATGCCGGACGTGTGGCATCTCTCCTTGTATGTCACTGTGTGCCGAATGTTTCAACAATGGAGAACACACTGGACATGATTTTAATATGTTTAGAAGCCAAGCTGGTGGGGCCTGTGACTGTGGAGACAGTAATGTCATGCGAGAGAGTGGGTAAGTCCAAGCTAACTGCTATCAGTGTGGCTATGCTAACTGCTACCTGGTCACTAAACCAACATCGACTTGACAGTCTATGACAGTTATGTAAATCAAGTTGTCACACAATGATACACACATATCCTATTTGTAATTTTTAATGGCATTTTGTTTTTGTCTTAAGCCACGGTCCATATCTAATTTAAGCTTAATCATTGGTATAGCTACCATCTAACCATCTCACCAAGTTAGCTATGGTAAAGTTAATTGTCAAGAAGACAATCTTCAAGAAGATTTGAAATATTGCCATATATTAATTTTATTAATTTGGACAGTAACTGGAAACCTGGATTTATATTATTTATAGTAACTAATACAGATAGACAGTAAAGTACATCATCATAAGGTCAAAATATTTATATTTTTCCAAACTGTTTAATGAGAAAAATGTGATGTGTCCTCATAACAGATTTTGCTTTCGGCATCGATTAAGAACAGGGGAGAATGTACCTACAATACCCAGAGATCTTCTCTTAATGTCCGAGATGGTTCTTCCTCGGTTTATTCTGTGTATTATACAGTATCTGAGGGATGGATACACAGAAGCAGGTGAATCTTCTGGCACCCAGTGACACGCACAAACGTTTTTTCATGCATCCTAATCTATTGACATGGCATTGTGCTTATAACTCTTATCTCACTTCACCAGACAATTCAAGTGAGAGAGATCTACAGAAAGTGCTTCAACAGCTGGAGCCACAGATCTCTTTTTTGGAAGAGCTTACAAAGATGGGAGGAGCAATGAGAACTGTTTTAACAAAGATCTTAACCAATCAGCAGACATTCAAAGAATTGAGCATGGGTAAGTTTACAAGTTGTCTTTTTTCTGGTAGAGGCTCCTCCACCTGCTTCTCCACAGAGATGTTGTTTGTTTGTCTGGAATATTACACAGTTAGGGCTGGAAATCATGTGGTCCCTCAAAATTTGATTCAGTACATGGTACTTGACTTACAATATGATAATATTATGATAGGGCGACATGTCTATACTGTATATGTCACTGTTTTAAAAACTAACAAATACATATTTACAGCAGTTTTAACTTACAGATTAATTTAGTTTTAAAATGAACCCGAATGCTCAAACAACCGGTAAAATCAAATGAGAGCAAAACCGTAAAACCATAAAATCAAAATAAACAAGTAAATGAAATAAACCAAAATAAATAAATAAAAAACAAACAAGCTCAGAACTACACAACTCACGCAGTGTTAAAAGCCAGAAAATAACAGTGGATCTTAAGACAAGACTTAAAACACTCCACTGTGGGGGCTTTTCAAGTGTGTGTGGGGAAGGGGCAGAGCATTCCAGGTCTTAGGGAAGGCCCTATCCCCCCTGGTTTCAAGTATTGCCAAAGGCACTGCAAGCTGTATGACCCTCAGACCTCAAAGCACGTGTGAGGGCGTAAATTTAGGTGAGGTCTGAGATTTATTGTGGGACCAGTCCATTCGAATCTTTACATACCAACAATAAAATCGTAACACTAAAACCTCTTAAAATCAACTCAAAATCAGGTGTTGCAGTTAGACTTTGGAACATTTTGTGCAAAGCATCTCAGTGGAGACAGGCAGGTGGCAGACTCTATTAGAAAAGTTACATAGTGCACCTTTAACATCATACATACTGTAATATGGTTATCTGTGCACACCACATCATTACAAGAAATTATACGTTATTTACTATTGTATTTCAACTTACTGAAATTGTAATTATTTACTATTATAGGCCAAGAGGATAACCTTTATGCAAAGAAGAACTATGAGAAATATTTGTCAGCACTGAAGAATTCAGGTTTAGTGTCTGTGGAGGAGAAAAGCCAAGGTGCAGCAGCTGATGCTGTGGCTGGGGCTGAAGGTGGTGCAGGGGCTATGTCTTTATTAGGTAAGATTTATTGTGGTCTGAACTATATTAGCTCAATCTATAGTTTCAGCTAGTCCTACAATAGAGAACTACAATAGTCCTCTATTGTTTTGTTTATCAACTATTACTTATAGACAAATTGTTACACTAAGATCTAACTTGAGTTATTTGTGCCTTTGTTTTTAGGAGGCTCAGTACCTGGTAGTCCAAATGAATCTGGTAAAGATGTATGTGTACCATACTACTATAATGGTTCTTTTTCTGTTTTCATTCTGTAATGTAAACTAGAGCATGTTGTCATATCTTTCCAATTTACCAGGAAGACCCAGATGCTGGACAATCTGTAGGACAGAGGAAGAGAGTTAAACTAAGTAGCAGTACCAAAGGTAAATGTTGTGTATTTTACTTTGTCAGTGGGACATTTTCTTTTACACATTTGTACAAAGATTTCTGTCATATTTGCCCTTCATACAGATCATTGTATAATTGAATCTTTGAAGCATAAATGCTTTTTGGAAGAGTTGCTATTCTGGACTATAAAATACGAGTTTCCCCAAAAGATGGTGACCTTTTTACTAAACATGTTGCCAGATCAAGATTACAAGGTACTCTTTTCTCATAAATTATTAAAAACATTTTAGACCAACTCTGCATGTTTACTTATAGACCTGTTCCCTCAAGATAACTGGGACTGCAATTTAACATTAATCTTCTTGTCTATTTTGTTTCTCTGACAGATCACGTTTACAAAAACATTTGTACAACATTATGCATTTATTATGAAAACACTGATGAAAAGCCATGAGTCTGATACCATGTCCAACCGAATTGTACATATCAGTGTGCAACTGTTTAGCAATGAGGAGCTTGCCCGGCATGTAACGGAGGAGTGTCAGCTACTGGACATTATGGTCACAGTACTTCTCTACATGATGGAAAGCTGCCTTATTAAAAGTGAACTTCAGGGTAAGCAAACAAAGCTCAGTGAGTGATTCATATGCTGTTCGGGTATTCATTTACAATGTTTTGTCAGCTGTGTATTCTATAACATAACACATAGAATATATATATTTTTTTGTCAGATGAAGAAAGTAATCGCCATGTTGTAGTGAACTGCAGTGAAGCCCTTCTGAAAAACAACACCTACTGGCCATTAGTTAGTGATTTTATCAACATCCTTTCACACCAAAGTGTTGCAAAAAAGTTTCTGGAGGACCATTCCTTGCTGATGTTGTGGATGAGTTTTGTGTCATTTTTCCAAGGTAAGTAATATAAAATGATGGTAATGTATACTTTTAAAAAAAATATTTTATGGGGAAAAATGCAGTACATGTACACCTTTATATGTTTTTTTTGTTGCTTAAGAGGTAAATGAGGTTGTTGTGCTGTTACTCACTCAGAGCCTTACAGAGGCTGGTCAATAAGAAGGTGCGAGTGGGAAAGGTGTTTGAGCAGACACCTGCATTAAACAGGAATAGGAATTATGTTTTATTTTTATCACCATACTGCCCACTACTGCTTTATGTGTTTGTATGGTAACTATGCCTTCAAAGCATGATTATATACTTTTAAGTTTGTCTCAATTTTCTTGCCTAGCCACACAAAAGCAGACATTTAATGCAGTTTAATTTAGTAAAGTGACTTATAGGAAGATGAATTGTTAGTCTTTGTCTCTGTGTTGAAATAGTCACTGGTCCTGGTTACTTGCATGTTGCCTTGCTACCCTAAAAATAACACATACCCTTACACAGTGGACTTGCGTATCCACTTGCTGCACGCTGTGTCACTATCATATTATATGTATATTTTCTGTGCTACTGGGGTTACTAGTAGTTTGATATTGATATACTACTCATTGTTGAACTGTTATAATTATTCTGCAAATAATTTTGAAAAGATCTTTTATATTAGTAATATTAAAATAATAAATATGACCCTGTAACTGAGAATCCCACTCCAATGTCTTTAAAGGGATGAATCTTAACAAGCGAGAGTTAAATGAACATGTGGAGTTTGAGTCGCAGACATACTATGCAGCGTTTGCAGCAGAGCTTGAAGCTTGTGCACAGCCAATGTGGGGTCTTCTAACTCATTGCAAAGTAAAAGTAAGACCTGCCTCATATTCCTCACCAACAGCATGCAAACAGCACCTTCTACATTTAATCTTGGCATTTATTGCCTTTATCTTTTCTTATTCCAGGATACACAAGAATACACAAAAACTGTGGTGCGATACTGTTTGGAGACTTTACAGATCTGGTTTGATGCTATTGGATTCATTGATGAAGTAAATGAAGCCCATCATGTGTAAATTGCATGTATTTTACTACCATGTTGCTTAACTTTTTTTTTTTTTTTTTTTTTACCTTTTAGCCTACTCCTAATCAAGTGACATTTCACTTGCCATTGCACAGATACTATGCTATGTTTCTCAGCAAAGTATGTATACTGATTCATAAACAAATTAAAACTTGACAGAAAAGAATAATTACTTTAACGCATCGCCAA